CAATGCAGTTTGTCTTTCACTGCAATGCAAAAAACAGAATATACCAGAAAGTATGCATCAACTTGACATGAAATTGAAAGATCAGCATAGCCAAAACAAGAAATACAAAACATAACAGAAACTACAGAACAACATGACGTGAAATGGAAAGAAGTATAAATAATTTAGCAGAAACTACAATGCAGTTTCTGTTTTGTTCAGTGCAGAAAACAGTTTTGATGCTCTTTTTCTTTCTTTTGTGATTTTTCGGTTTTTAGAGGTTTTCAAACCAAAACTAAACCCAAAACCTAAACTACATTGCAGAATGAAGAATGAACAGTAAGTAAAATTTCAGAACCCTAAAATCGAAGGCAAATTTATGTTAAGGGTCATTTTCTTACGGTTTTTTCCCCAAGAGAGTGCTAAACCCTTCAATCGTCGTCGTTGCTGGTCATCGCTTCTGGTTGTCGCTCGTCGCTGGTCGCCATTTCAGATTTTGGGGGAATAGGTTGGAACTGCTGAAAGAGAGAATGAAGAATTGGCTTCGATCGTTGGTGGTCTTCGATGATGGTTGCACAAATGGGTTGGTGGTCTTCGATGATCGTTGGTGGTCTGGAGGTTTCTGGAGGTGAAGTTGAAGAGGTTTCTAGAGGTGAAGTTGAAACGTCGCGCGAATGGGTTGTGATTCAATTTTGGTTTCGGTTGATGTCGTTTTGGTTCAGTTTTGGTGTGATGTCGTTTTTCAGTTTTGGTTTAAAACTAAATACTGAAAATGGCATATGTTGTAATTTTCATATTTTGTAATGGTATTTTTGTTACATTTTGGTTTTTTGCCTTTTGCTAATTAGACTAAATTGTATTTCTTTCTACTAAATTAATAAACTATATTATGCTTTAAAACTAAAGCTCCCTATATATTATAACACATAATCTATTTCAATAAATTTTTAATATATGATTTTGGGCCAAAATCTAAGCCTTTATATATTGGACCGTATGTTATTACGTCTTTGGCCTTGATATTTTCAATATAGAAGAGATTTTGGGCTAAAACCTTGAAAGCTTTACTAATTTAGAGTGCCGAGGATTTAGCATGCAAAATATTAGCTTAATGTCTAATTTTTATTGGCTAGATGGGTGAAGAAACCACCTGTGGCAGCTGCCCACATTAGGCATGTATTGGGTCCGCCAGTGCTAACACAGGTGATCGTAAATATTGTGAGGACAGTGGGAATGGTACACCGTACACACACTCTCCAAGGAGTGATCTTTGCTTGCTTTATTTACCCATGTTAAAATCATCTCTCACAATTCACAAACCAAAATCAGAACCTGGAGAATGAAAATGATGGCATTGTATATTTCCACAAAGTTGGCCATCTGGTGCATGCGTTTAGAAAAAAATGAATTATTTGAAGTAGCTTCTGCATGCCTTTGAATAACGACCTTGTATTTTTGCTTGGTGGGGTGGGAGGTGGTCCATTTGCATTCCCACAACCCCTCCTGCACATGGGATCCAATTCCACCATGTGTTGGTTGTGCTTTCATTATAAATTGTATGAAAACTACCCTGGCCAACTCATTAAGCTGGCAAGGAAAGATAACATGTGGATATAAATAAAAGTTTAGAAATATGATGTGTTATTTGTAGATTTTATAGAATTAAATTTTGTAGAAATGTCACATGAATTTATATATCAATTTTAATTTATCATCTTAAATTTTTTTTAAAGAAAAATGACACTTTAATTTTTCAAAAACCATGATTTATCATCTGACTTTAATACCATCCAATTTTTCATCAATTTTTAAGGGTATTTTAGTCTTTCCATTTTTAAGGGTATTTTAAAAATCGAAAATTCTTTATTAATATAAAAAAAACTTAAATGTAAAAATGGTCTTTGTGTTTTAACATATTGGCCAATTTAAACCTGCGTTTTCAATTTGGCCAATTCGGTCATTGTGTTTAGGATCATTAGCCAATATTGTTCATTTCGTTAAATTTGATGTTAAATACCCATGATAAACTTTTTTTTTTTGTTCTATAAACTTTTCTTAAATTAATTAAAAAACTGAATTAATCTAACAATATTAAAAATTCATTAAAGTAAATCATAACATTAAAGAAAGGCTCAGACCAAAATAAAATAAAATAAAACATTAGAGAAGGGAAAAAAAAAACTTAAAAAAAGGGATGGGGGTTGTCGGGGAGGGAAGGACCCAGCAACGGAGAGGTGGGAAGGAGAGGCATGGCCAAAGGTGGAGAGATGGAGAGAGGAGAGTGGGGCGACGATCGGATGGGCAGAGATTGGGGTGGAGATGGGTTGGAAAATCTAGGTGAGCAACTGGCTGGAATGGGGTAAATGGCTAAGGATGGTGGGGGTTCTTTTGAGAAGGAGAGAGATATATATTAGGGAGATTCACTATAAAACCCAATATATGAGCCTAAATTATAAAAAAGCTCTATATAAAATGGACTTTAGAAACACACTCAAAATCCAGTTACAACATAACAAAAAAGCTTGTAACTTCTTTTAAATTACAAAACTGCCATTGATTTCTTAAAACAAACCCAATTCAAAAACCTCATAAAAAAAGCCCAAAACACTCAATGGGGTATCAAAGTAATTTAATAATTAAAATTAAATTCAATAGGGCCAGCTGTCATTTTTTGGGCATTTTTTGGGTATGTTTATAGAAATTAAATGGTGTAGGGTTATTTATAGTTTTAGTGCCAAGAATGAGTATTTGACTAAATATCTCTATATATTAAGGGTGAGGTGGATCGGAGTTGGGGTGGTGGGTTGTCGGGGA